GATCATATCCTCTTATCTTTTGTTCATTTATTTTCCTAAAAAGTGATACAGTCAACTCTTGTTATAACGAACTCTATGTCTTAAACTTCAACTTCACTATAAGATTATAGTGAAGATTTTAAGAGATTTGATTGGCCAATTCGCTATAACAAGAGTATTTTTATTATATTTGTTCAAAAAATTTGTTATAACAAAAGTTCATTATAACAAGAGTTGATTGTATATTTAGCTTAGGTAGATTTGATTTTGGGAGAGTACAAGATCAGTCTTCTTTAAAATATAGTTTTTAGACAAAATTTTTATTTTTTCTTGTGATTTGTTTTTATTTTTGTTTTTAGTTTATTTATAAAAGTATAAATATCTACTATTATCATAATAAAGATTTAGTGAAACTACCGCACTTTAAAAAAAAAATGTATAATGCAGAACTAAAGCTTTGAACGGTTCAGTTCAGTCTGGATTAGATATCAATCCATATCCAAACTGAAATTTCAGTTCGGTTCAGTTCAGATTATTATCTTAAAAATGTTAATCTAAATCTGAACTGAACTGGAATTTTTAGATTAATCCAAAATTATGGTTCGATTATATAAAGAATCCGCAATTTATATGCGAAACTCTAGGAGAATTGCAAAAAATCGCAAATTTTTCTTTGATATTCGTAAAATTCGAAGAGAAATCGCAAAAATTGCGATTCTCCAAGGAATTCGTGATTTTTTTTGCGAAATTCGAAGAGAAATCGCAATTTTTTGCGACTTTTCAAAAGTTTCGCATATAATCGAACTGAACTTTCAGATTAATCTGAAATCATCAGTTCAATTCAGATTTTTTTCAGTTTAGATTAGAATTATAATCTGAAAAAAATCTGAACTGAACTGAAAAATTTTAGATTAATTTTTATGCAATCCGAAACTGAACTGATCTGAACTGATCTGAAAAATCTTCAGATTAATTTGAACTGTTCGGAGCTTTATGCAAAACTTTTACCCCTAATACCTTAATAATAAATTAATAAAAATTATTATGCATAATTTATTACTTAGAAAAGAATAATAGTTTCACTCTAATTCTTAGTAAATTTATTAAATTATAAATAATAAAATTTGAAAATAATAAAATAAATAGAAAACGTCTTTTAATAAAATACTTACACTATGATTACAGCATTGAAAATCTCTTTAATATGTTAAAATTAATGTCATAAATAAACCCGTTATAACATAAAAATAGAAACATATTGATAAACTGAAACAAAGAAAAATGCAGATTAATAAAATAAAAGGAATTATAATTTATGGATTTTACTGATTACAAAAAAACAATTAAATAGAAGACAAGACGAAAAAGGAATCTAACAGAAGAATATAATAATATTTGAGTATATTGGAAAAGTAAAATATAAAACAAGAAGAATAAATGGAAATACTATAAAGTTGATCAAGAAAATGTATGGTAACAAAGATAAGAAGGAATTATGAAAATAAATAAGAAAAGATTACTGAAAATTTGGATTCTACTAATAACAATAAAATAATCGAACGAAGGGTTTAACAATAAAGAATAAACAGAAGATAGATTTATTGAAATTGTAAGAGACTTTTAACAATATGAAAACTAAAGATTTAAAAGAAAATATAACAATATGAGAAGACTTAAAAGAATAATTAATGATAAGAAATTAAGAAAATAATGACAATGGAATAATAAAATAGAACTGTAAGAAATTAGAAAATTATGAAAAAGAAGAAACAGATAAATTAGAATGAATTGAATAAATAGAATTTCAGATTCTTAGACAAATAAATTAATTTATAAAACAATCCTCTTGAAGACGAGTAGCAGAAATAGTTCAGGAAGATATAGCTCTTGTTAAAGTTATTGAACTCATAAAATGTCATACATTTGTAAAATATGGATTTTGATAATTACAATGTAAAAGTTATTTTCTACAAGAAGGATTATAATCTGCACATAATGCTTTTAATAATTCTATAAAAATGGATTATTTACAATAGAAAAAGTAATATTATAAAGGATAAAAGTTTTAATTAAAATATTATTAATTTCTTTTTGACGTTGCTTTAAAATTACATTAGTTTCATAATGTTGATTAATAAAAATTTGCTTATGAAAAAAAGAAGAAGTATGAGCTTGAACAGTTTTTTACCATTTAAAATTAGAGGATTTATCTTAAACTAAATATTGAATACTTTGATCATTATCTTTATTACTAACCTTTCGAAGTAACGACTAACCACTCTGCATTGAATTAGTTGTTTCTTGAGTAACAATTCTAGCAAATTCTAAACTGGTATTATTAGGACATTTTGAATAATAGGATGCTAAATGAATATATAAAATATTAGGTCTAGCATTTGTCCAAAATTTATTATAATATTTACATGTTCCTTCATAATAGCCATAGATAGCATTTTTTCTTTCTTGAATAAAATGTTCTCATACTTTAGAAAATTTTCTTCCTAAATGTTTTTTTGTATTTCTTGATAATATACTTGAACTATCATCTAAAGTAATTGAAAATTGTTCAGCTTCCATAATTTAAGTTTTTCAATTAAAGATAATGATAATATTGAAAAATAATTTAATTATTAAATTTGTTAGCAAAGAAGATAAACTTAAAGCTATTTTAGACCAAAAAGATAGTAAGGAGGTGTAATAATTTCAGTTAACTTTTGATAATAGCAAAATAAAGAGTGATTTATTATAGCAAAAAATTTTTTAAAAATTTATTTAAAATTTATCGTGAGAATTAATTTTTTAAAAAAGGCTTAAAATTACATTATCTTATGAATATTACATCATTTTACTAATTAATATGATACCTTGTACTAATTGCAACTTATTGCAACAAAAAATATTATTGCAACACTATATTGCAACATAATGTTACAACTTTATTTAAATTATAATAATTATGGTCCCTTGTAATAATTATAACAATTTGCGGTCCCTTGTAAAAATTGTAACTAATTGCGATCCCCTGTAAAAATTGTAACTAATTGCGGTCCCCTGTAAAAATTATAACTAATTGCAACTTGTGGTTAATTAAGTTAATAATGTTATATTACTTAATTAATTTATTATTTGTTGTAACATAATAGAATAATTATAGTTACCATCTTTAATCCCCACACCATAATACTACCCCATCCAAATTTGACCGTTGGTTTAACATGATGATCCATTTGGTTTTTTCCAATAATATTCTCTACCATCTGATCCATAAATCATAAATTTTGACTCATCTGACCAAATAACTTTATTCCAATCCTCTGCTGTCCATGATCGATATTTTTTTTGCAAATTTAATATGAGCAATTCTATGCATTTTTCGAAGATAAGGTTTTTTACATTTGATTCTTGAGTTTAATCCATTTCGTCATAAGATCCACTTTACTGTATTTTCACTAACTTCAATTTGTTCTTCAACTTTTAATTTTTTTTGAATTGAAACTGCATTTGTACATTTTCCTGATGAAATAAGCCGAAAAACATTTCGTTCATTTCGACCTGTTAGGTGTCACAGACGTCTAGGCTTTGGTTGATTTTTAAAGGTACCATTTTTATCTTTTCTTTGCTTAATTCTTATAACAGTTGATTGAGAAATATTTCTTTGGATGCAATATAACGAGAGGGATATCCCTCTTCAAATAGAGTACAAATCCTTGACCTTTTTTCAACAGATAAATAACCCATCAATATTTTTTTTTTTTTAAAAAAAAGGATGCCTATAGGCATCCTTTTTATATGTGTGCATAATTGTTTTGAATAAAAATAATCGCGTACGATATGAAGGTATTTATTTTCATAAAATCGGTCATAATAAATGCATCGCTCAATTTGAATGTTTTTACATTTCGCGAAAAAACTTTTGTTTTCTTAAAAAAAAAGATTATATAGATTGATAAATAGGATATGACGAACCCCATAAATAAGTTTTGTAACACTGCGATTTCTTAATCTCAAGAAATTGCAATTTTAAGATTTGCATTCAGGTGATACAATACTTTTGACCGCCACTGTAAATAAAATAAATATATGATATTATAAATGAAAGTGATCTTTGCTATATACGATTTGCTCATCTCGTAAAACAAAAATAATTAATTTTTTAAATTCAAAAATTGTATTTTAATATCAGAAGCTTTCGATAGGTTTTGCCTTCCGTCGAAACTTTCACAATTTTGCCTTTAATAAAACATTTGGCAAAACGTTTCGACGGGTTTCGATTTCGACGCCTGTCGAAACCTCCGGGTTTTGCCCGGCAACCTTATGACAACATTACATAAAATTTATTTTAACTATAAAGATGTAAGATATTTTTATTGCCCCAATTTAAAATTAAAAAGAAATTTCAAGTTGGGCACAAATAACACGATTTCTTATTATGGAATTTACAGAATATAAGGTTGTGTAACGAACTTTAATAAGCACAGTAATTAGGTTTTTTTTTATTTCCTCTTTGTCTTCGGGTCTAATGCTCGATTAAATATAGATAGGCTTTTCTCTTTATACAAATAAACAAATTATAAAATAAAAGACAAATATAAAAATTTATCATTATTGATTTGATAAGAAAGATGTTCTGGAAACCCGTCGAAACCTATTAAAATAATTCTTGAAAAGTTTTGACTTTTGCCAAATGGAATTAGAGTTTCGCCCACAACTTTAAAGTTTAACATAATGTCTTGAATTGCTACATTATTTTTTTGGCTCATTAAATAAATTATGTCATTCATTAAGAATCATTGAATTATTCTAATTAAAGGTTTTCTTCAAAAAAAAGAAATAAAAAAGAAATTAAAAATAAATTGAATCGAAGATGCAGTGCTTTTTAAGAAATACCTTTAATCATTATCTTCACAAAAAAAGCTATTTTGCTGTGGCTTGAATTTTCCATTATATTATTCTTTTATGCCGCCGATTTAAATTGGACTTTATAAGAAGCATTTATGAGATTGCATTACCAATTTGGGAAAATGTCCATTAAAAATAGATTCTCGGAGATCATGGTTAACATCTTAAGAAATTTCTTTGTACAAGGTATCTGATTATTGTGTAAAAAATGAGGATATAAAAAAGATGTGAAAAGATCGAATCTCATTAAATCTTTTTTTTTTAAAAAAAAAGAATACCTTGTAACTTACATTATACATATATATAAATATTTTATAAAAATATTCTTTTATAAAAATGAAAATAAAGATATACCAACGTGTTATTATTAACCTGACATTTTTTTTATTGTTTTGTTATTTTTTCAATCGGACTTTTGCCGAGATAATTAAGAAATCCTCGCATGAAACCCGCGCAAATACATTTTATGTTAAATTTGCTGCTTCGCCTTTCACGTCATCTGCCGATCATATTGAGGCCCAACATGCAAATTTTCATAAAGAGTTAAATAAACGTGGAATCGATGTCAAAATTAAAGATGTATTTAAACGATATGCAAACGGAATAAGCATTGAAATCGATGAACGCCATGTAAAAAGGATTGCAGAAATTGAGCACGTTGAAAGTGTCGAGCCCGTGGTAAGTAAAGGAATTCGAGACGCTTAAAATTAGCACATGGCGCAGTAAACTAACTTGCTTGCTTTACAACTTCTAAGAAAATTTATAAACGAATTAATCCAATTAAGCCAATCGAGTTTAAAAAGGAAAGTTTGAATAAACGTAACGAAGACGATCTTAATAGAACAATCCTAATTGCCCCTAATAATGATATTAATTCTGTTCATGAAATTACCGGAGTAAAAAAAGTTCACGAAAAATTGAGACTCTCTGGAAAAGGTGTCAAAGTCGGAATCATTGATTCAGGTATTTTAAAGTTTTTTTTTTTTCTTATTTAATGGTTTAACAAATCAAAAAACTTTGATCATTTATAATTTCATTTCATTTTTTATTATCAGGCATTGATTATACACATCCTGCTCTTGGAGGATGTTTTGGGCCAGGATGTAGAGTAGCATTTGGGTATGATTTTATGAATGATACGAACGACCCGTACGATAATTGTATAGGACATGGAACATTTGTAGCAGGAATTATTGGTGGTATTGATCTAAGGGATAACGGTCCCGGATTTGTAGGTGTAGCACCAAATGTCATTTTTGGCGCATATAAAGTTTCATCTTGCCCAAATGAAATTGATGGAGAACACGGAGTTTTGGAAACCACAGTAATGAAGGCTGTTATTAAGGCTGTCGATGACGGGATAGAAATCATAAATATGTCCTTGGTAAATAAAAATTTTTTTATTTTTATTATTTTATTTATTTTTTAAGTAAAAATTATATTAAAATATTGATATTAAATTTAAAATATTTAAGGGATTTGCGGGTGACGATAGAAGCAATCTTGCAATTTTGATCAATGAATTCGCTAAACAAAAGGGAATAATATTCATAGTATCGGCAGGGAATTCTGGTGAATCTGGTTTATTTACAATTGCAATGCCATCGAATGCACAAAATTCTATTAGTGTTGGTTCATTTGAAACGGATAAAGTCATTAATTTTAAAGCTTTTGACCCAAAGAATCCAAAGTTTGTTATTAGTAAGTGTATATATATATTAAATTTGATTTTGCAACAGTATTGAATAATTCTTTATTCATTTTTATAGACTATATTACAAAAAATGCATTAGCTTTTACCTTCAAAAATATTAAAAGTATTAAAGTTAAATTGTTTCCGATGAGTAAATGTTTAAATTATGATTACAATGAATTTAATGATACAATAATAATCATAGATTATAGAGTTAAAAACATTTGCCCAGAACATGTGAGTTAATTCAAAGTGACGTTGTATCTTCATTTTACTTTAAAAAACTTTCTTATTTCAAAATAAATCTTGTTTTTTAGTTTATGCAAAAAACCTTAAACCCGCGCGGGGGGTTTGTAATAAGTCCGAGACCATTTGTTCTACCGGATAAGAGAAATCGGGCAATTATCGATTCGAAACAAGCCGATATTTTAATAAAGTATCTCGAAAAAAATCCAAATTTAGAATTAGATTTTTCTGACAAGTATGGATATATGGAATATAAACCATTTTCTGTAGTTCCTTCGGCATTTTCAAGTTGGGGGTTAACTGAAGAGTTAAATATTAAGGTAAGAAAAAAAATATCCTCTAAAAATGAGATCTATTAATAACGTTTTTTTTTTCTTAATTATAGCCTGAAATTTCTGCTCCAGGACAACTTATGCTTTCATCTTTCCCAGTCAATTTATCACCTTACGTGGTAATGTCTGGAACAAGTTTTTCTTCACCGTATATCGCAGGCATAGCGGCATTGTATATTGAATCATTTGGAAAACAGTCTTTTGATCAACTAAAAATCGCATTTATGAATTATGCTGTACCACGTAAAGATCGTAACCATTTACTAGCCCCGGTAATCATTCAAGGCGCAGGACTCGTTGACGCGTTTAATATGTTGAAAGCAACCAGCTTTGTCTATCCTCCAAAAATTAATTTGAATGACACTGTTCATTTTAATGGAAGTCACAAATTAAATATTTATAATAGTGGAAGAAAAGAGATGAAATATAAGTTATCGCATATTCCAGCTCCAAGCATTAACGGATACAATAACACTTCGCCAAGAAATTATATAAACTTGGAATATTTTACAAAACAAAATCAATACGCTAACGTTCAATTTGATAATGATCAAATAGCCGTACCACCTCGATCAAGTGTTGAAGTTTCTGTAACATTTATATCACCAAGAGAACTACCCATGGATGGACATTTTTTTTATAGTGGATGGTTAGAAATAGCTCCTTTGGATGAGAACATGTCCATAATGACAGTTCCTTATGGTAAATAATTTTTTTACATAATGATCTATCATATCTGCAATTTTTTTGATAATTTTAGCGAATCTAAATAAAATTCCTTTTCAATCTTTTTTTTTCTATTTATATAGCCGGGTTAGCTGATGATGCAAGATCTCTTCCATTATTTCAGACACCCACCTTTCCTGCACTTGTTAGTTTGTTTGCCAATAAGACAATTGCTCGTATCAAAGAAGAGGATCCAATTAAAACATTCACCTTAAAACTTCTTAATGAAACCATCGGATTATATGATTATCCATCGGTAGTTCTTAATCTTGCAACTCCGACACAAATGATTATTACCGAAATACTTGATGACAAACAAAGTCTTTTAGGATGGGTTAAAAATTTTACTGGAATTGAATCTAAAAAACTTCAAATAGAACGAGTTTCATGGGATGGACTTATTTATAATAAAGAAGAATTCGGTATCCCCGCTCCTAATGGAAATTATTTTTTAAGAATTAAAGCATTAAAAATGTTTGGTGATATTAATAACAAAAAAGATTATGAATCTTGGGTTAGTATTAAATTTGCAATTAAGAGAAAAGCATGAAAAATGACGTAATTTTCGTGAAATTATTAAATTTGTATTTATGTGTGAAATAAAATTATTATTTGATTTATACTGTATGATTAAATTTTTTAAGTATTTAATTACGTGAACATTTCAATACTATAAGAATATCGCTATTATCGATAAATGGTTGGGAATAATGGAATAATTAATTACATTTTTTTAAGCTTTTTCTTACATTATCAATACTAACAAAATGTTTACATAAACAATTTTGTTTGAAAAGTAAATTTTTTTATTTAATTTGGCTTTGATATATAAAAAAAAAAAAGATATTTAAAATGTACTAGGAATAATTAAATCGGCGGACTAGATAGAGATACGAAAATTTTTGATAATAATAAAAAGTTAGAAACAAAAATAAAAAAAAATAAGAAGAAAAGTATTCCCGTCCTGCCTTTTAAATAAATGTTTCAACCTTCGCTTTTGAAAAGGTCTAGTCCAAGAGTAATAGTTAGTGCTCCGAAACGATCGAGTCGACCCGGCTTGTTTGACCCGACTCGAATATTTCTCGAGTCGGAGTCTTAATTCAAAAAACTCGCCGGGTCAGGGTCACGTTTTGCTCGACCCGAGTCAATCCGGGTGACCCGGATGATCATGCGATTGATTAAACATTATTGACGCGCTAGACTTTTTTTTTTTTTTACGTTATGCGACTTTAATTTGTAACAAATAAATAATAAAGTAGACCTATCGACGTTACTGATAGTACAATTTCTTCTAGAAAACGAAAAGCATTGCGGAGTGAACAATTACAGGCAGGTAAAAAAAAAATTATCGATTATTAAACATTAACTAAAACATTTTTTTATAAAGCAACAAGTGTTCCAGTAGATCCTGGCGGAACCTATCTAATATCAACCAAAAGATGTGGTCTTAAAGCTAATACAATTCACCTGTATTTGCTTGAAATTCTGGTGGAAAAAGATGGTAAAAAAAAAAAAAAAAAAGAATTGGGATTAATTCTAACAAAAAAAAAATAATGAATTTTAAAAATAAAATAAACTTTATATAACACTTGTTTATTTACAGCTTTAATCTAAAATATTTATAAGCGAAAAAAAATGCTGAAAAGCTTGTCACGTTTTGCTTAATCTAATATGTAGAAGTTTATTGTTTTAACCAACAAATTCAAATTTGCAGCTTTTTTTTTTAAAATGACACTCTGCGGGTGACTCAGGCGCAACGATCGATGATTTTTAAAAAAATCTTGCGCCCCTTTTTTTCTTTAGATTCCTCTTCGAAATCGGATGGTTTTTGATAGAATAAATGCTTTCGTTGTTTTATTTTCATATTACTCCAAAATTATTTTTATACTTTATTAAATAAACTATACACTGTATAAAAGAAAAATTTTTGAAATAATTAAAAAATAAAAATATGTAAATTACTTTGATAAGATGAAATTAAAATGTGGCCAACTCAACCATCGAAATCCGTCGAAATTCTCAAAATTATCGCGTCTTTTTCTTGATTTTTTAGGCAGTGTCGAGGCGCAACGTCGAATAGGGAAGTATTTAAATTTATTTTCTATATATTAAACCACTGCCCATTAAGCTAGCATAAAGCAATCCTTGAGATTTCGAGTCGAGTCCGGGTTAAATAATAATCGTGTCGAGTCGAATCCGAGTCGAACAATGATCGGGTCGAGTTGAATTCGGGTTCTGTAATTATTAACGGATTCGAGTTCGAGTATGCCTTAAACCCGGCCCGACCCTTACGGAGTACGATAAATTAAATAAAATGTCCTCAATCTTTTTTTTGAGAAAAAAAAGAATACCTTAATTACGAATGTAATTATGATATAAAATTTTACAAAATGAACAATCAAATGTTATACAAATTCTTATTTGTTGCAATTTAATTTCTTTATAAAATCTTTTCGTAATGCAAATGATTATTTGATTCTTATCAAGGACATATTTAACATGCCTTGGTGACCGTTTCGAAATAGAAATCGAAAAGGTCGATTTTTGCCAAATTGGGATTAGCGTTAGGGTTTTGACCGCCTTAATAGAAAATGAATTATAAGGATTATGAAAATTAAAATTGTATTAATGGAAAAACAGTGTTGATTTGTGGCAATTGAATAAAGCAAAGATCTCTAATTGCATTTTTTTTTTTTTTTAAAAAAAAAATTTATGGTTAAGATTTGAAAAGGGATAATAACAATAAGACATTCTAATTCACAATAAATAAATAAAGGTGTGATTAATTTTTGCCTTAATAATAAATGTTGTGTTTCACACAATAAACATTTAGACCTATGATAAATTGTGAAGGTCATACCTTCTAAAATAGATCAGGAAAATTTTGATGGGAAAAAACTTTAACGAAAAACGATTATTTTATTCAACAATAAGTCTTTACCCGAAAATATGTGGGAAAATTGTTTCAATTTTGATCAAAGAAGTAAATGCTCGTTTCCTTTTTAATGCGCAGTTATAATTTAAGAGAATCAAACTTGTTTTAGTGCGGGTCTAAAGCGTTTTTATTTTTTTCAATGAGCAATATTTTTTAAACAACTCTCCAACACAATAAATAAAGCAGATCCGAAATGATTAGTTCAAAAACAAACAATTCCCATTCTAAGTGTATGGTGAGAATTAGACGACAAAAAATCACCAATTTTTGTATATGACACCATCAATTTTCTATTAAATTATTTTTAGTTTCAAAAAGTAACGTTTTGATAATTCTTTCGTTTCTTTTATTATGATGTAACTTCAATACAATTAGATAGTATTATAGTAATAAATTATAGATTAATACAAAAAAAAAAAAAATTACTCTCGATCTAAAAATTATATCCTCTTTCGCAAAAATGAAATTCCAGATTCTAAAAATATATAAATTTAGAAATTTAGAAAAGAGCGATGGCAGCGGCAACAACACAAGCACCCGCAATATTAGTCATATCATGTCTCATGGGTACGGCCGCGGCACTTGCTGTCGGTGACGACGTGCTAGTGCCAGTGCCAGTGTGCGTTCCCGTTGTTGTGGTTGTGCCGGTCGTGGTCGAACTGAAAGTATTTGTTACAGATGTCACGGTAACAGAAGTAGGCGCTTTGATTATAAAAAAAAGAGGATGCAAATGTTATTTTGATATGAATAACTATTTTTTTTTTTCTTTCAAAGAAAAATGTACTTACGTGCTACGACTTCGGTAGCTTCATCTGGAATAAGAGCAGTTTGAGTAGACGAAGTTGTTGCAACAACTTCGGTTGATTTTGGTTCTTGAGAATGAATGGTCACAGGCAAACAAGAGATTATGAATAAAACGATAAAGAATAAGGCAAAGGATTTCATTTTTTGCTAATGTTTTTATTTATAAAGGTATTATTATATTTATATTTATTATATTGTATAAATATTTTGTCAATTTATTTGGGTTGAAAAGATGGATGAAAAATTTCCGTCTCCTTTTATAATGTTTCGTGGAAAAAATGAGAAAAATATACAATTGACAATATAAATATAACATCATTATGATGATAGTATGAGAATGATATAATCTTATGGCGTTTTTTTTTTTTTTTTCTGTTTTTTTTTAATGGAATTTTCTTTCAAAGACATTAACGCCCCCGTTATATTTTATCATCGATTTTACGTGTTTCTTACATACCTAACATTCCAAAATGGAAGTGATATTAAATTATAATTATTGGTGATTTCGGGTAGTTGAACCTGATGTAAACATGACGTATCTAATCAATTCGGGTAAAGCTTTAGTAATGACAGCATGTGATTTGGCAAAAACTAACCCGATCGACTTTGATTTTGGTTAAGCATGAGAATAATTTTTTTTACCAGTTGACAATGAAATAAAGATAAACGATAAAAAATTCCAATTATAGATGTAATACAATATAATAATAATAATTTAATTTTCTTTAATTGAATCGCCAAGGTAAAAGTTTGCCAAATTGCCAAGATCATTTATTATTGATCAAAAATAAAAAGACGGAAAGATGCAGTATTACAAAACAATTTGGTTTATTTTACTTGGCAAAAATAATTCAGAACGATTGTAAGGTAGAATAACGCCATATCCCAACATATTGATAAACCCCCTTGAATTTGAGAATCAGATTTCTCTTAATTTGATTCGAGTTTAATAACAAGAAAATTAGAATTATTAATAACCATTAACAACAAAATAGGAAATATATATGAGCAAATAAAAGAATAAAAAATAAAAAAGGTTTATAAGATGAATGATTACTTTCCCGAAGTACATCACATGTGAAATTAATTAATTATTAATAATAAAAAATAAATATTGTACAGTTTTCCCACAAAAGAAAAAATAAAAATAGATAAAAAATAAAAATTAAATTAAAAAATTTAAATAACTGGCTTAAGTAAGGAATTGTTCCGAGATTGAACAGAACAAACAAAGGGTTGTGAAGCGTAATAAGATGGAATGGTCCAAGCACGTGCTCTCATTAAGAATGCGCCACTTTCAATACGAATCACAATTTCTTCAAAGTAAAATGGTTTTCCCCTAGCATTTACACCCAAATATGATGATAAATCGTTATGGTTGTGATACCTTATACCATCGATTTCAATACAACTATCCTTTAGGAAGGATAGTTTCAAAGAAGGTGACAAAGTGAGGGTGCCATCAGGCGTTCGGAAAGATTCCGTAAGCACGCGAAAGGTTGCATCTTCCGCAGCATCTTTCAAGACGAAATTCTCGAATTTTATTCCATTGCTCAGGTTTGAAGTTACGGTTGCTAATGCGTCTCTTCCGTGTACCTCTAATCGGTACAGACCTTTTTCTGGGTTTGGCTTTATCGTTTCATTAACAACATTGTCCTCTTCATTATTGTCAACCGTGGCATCATCATCATTAGTGTTAGCAACAACTTCATTTTCTTTGTTTGATGTTTTCTTCTTCATTTTCAAAATGGGATTGGCATTATAAATTAAAGATCGAGAATCCCATCTTTTTAATTCCACATCTTTAATGTTTATAGCGAGAATAGGTTCTTTCTCGAGTGCATAGGTTAAAATCTTCCAAGGTATCACCTTTACAGGGAAATGTTTTTCATAGATTTCTTCCAACAAATTTTGTAACCTTTCAAAACCGTAATATTTTACGTCCTCCAATAAATTTTTCATCGAGACCTTGTCTTTTACCGGCCAATCCACTTCATACCTTCTTAAATATTTTACGATCATTGCGAAATTCGTTGGATCCCGTTCGATAAAGATACTAGTGGTCGTTGCCTCCGAAAAATGACCGAAAAATGCCGCCGTGAAAAAATTGGGTGCATCCCGATTTAAAGATTCCGAGGTGAGGCAAAAGGTACTCTCACCTATCTTTATTTTATACGTTTGATATGTAAAACTCGATGCAACCTTATTATTATAATTACATTTATCCGAGTCGTATTTATCATTTTTATTTTTATTTTTATTTTTATTCTTCTTATTATGTTTATTGCTACTATATGTTTTATGGTTATTTTGATTTTTGAAATTAATGGCCAACATCGTCTCGCTTTGGTTATGAATAGAAAAAAAAAAATCCAAAAAAAAAAAAAAATTATATATTAAGACAATGAGGAATTATTTCTGGTCAAAAACTCCCTTACTTATATATATATATATATTATTTTATTTTCATTCACTTTAACCGATCTTTACCAATTTATATCTATTTTTTTTGAAACAACGAAATTACGAAATAACAACGACGTTTTTTTGATCATCGTTAATAGATTTTCGAATAATTGAAAATTTTTTTTTTATTACTTGGCTCAACGTTTAAGTAAGATTTTCACCTTTATAATAACCAAACGGGGCAGCATTCTATAACTAGGAATCATGGTAATTTTGATTCGTGAAAAAAAAAAAACATTTTGACCTCTTTTATTTAATCTGAATCCAAAAATATAAAAAAAGGTAAATCTTTGATATTCTCATCTATTTTATTTTATTGCGGGGGAGGCTTTGATTACCAAAGAAAGATCTAAACATTCAAAAAAGGTATTTAAAAAGGATTTCTTTTTTCCTTTTTAATTTCCTTCATTTTTGTCTTGCCCCGTGCTTTTCTTCTCTTTCATCTCTTTTTCCCAATCCTTTTCAACATGACCGACAATACCTGATTGTTCAAAAGATAAAAAATGGTTAAATTAAATTTTAAAAATCTCTTAACATATGAAATTATGGTTAAAGCAAATGACAAGATGATTAAAGAATTTACCTTTGTGATCATTTACTCCCGGTGGATGTACGATGTGTTCACGATCCTGCCATCTTACCTCATCAGTTTCAAGATTTTCTGTGATTTCAGGGTTATCATGTCTAGGTAGAGCATGATATACCACGGCGGAATTAGGATCTCGACCTAAAAAAAGGAATGTTCATGTTAGTTGCCATATGATCCCATTTACATTCGTTGGCAATTATTCATTACCAATAGGGATATTTTCGGTTCTTGGGTCAATCCTTTTCCTGCCACTTTGATCGTCCATCTTTTTTTTTATGTAGAGTTTTTTTATATTAAAAAAAATTTTATGTTTCGTTGGGTTAAAATTTATTTTTTATTTATTTTTTTTTTTTTTGTTTTTTTTAAAAAAAAAAAAATTTAGAAAAAAAAAATACGAAATGGATTTATAATTATTTTATTTTCTTTAAAAAAAAATCAATTTTATCATATCATCGTAATGGTGTCGTAATGACACAATCATTATGTCAATTGCGGTCATAACCAAGTTTGGTAAAAACTATAACGCTAAATATCGTTCAAATCTACGGTCCCCAATCGGATTAGATATATTTTCGAATAAATTAATTGCTTAAAATTGAAACAAAAAATTACAAGAATTATAAATATACATATGGTACCTTTTTTAATCTAATCATAAGACTGAATAATCTAACTAAAATTAAAATTGAAAATGTTCACGATGAAATTGACGATCATTAATAATTACTATGAGAAATTTAAGGGTTTTCGTCTTGCAGATCAATTATTCAAGAATTTTGGAATGATTAAAAGCCAAAGTACACGTGGAATACAAAAAAAGATAAGTACACGTAATGATTCTATGATATGCCATTGGCAGAAAAGTTCGTTAATAAATCGTAAAATATCTTTACTCTTTCTTCGGTCATTACTTTATCTGGTGAAAAATTGAGTACTTGCAGCGAATTAAGAGAGGTCGCTCGGGATAACGCGACATAAGTTTGTCCTGCCGATTAATTTATTGTTAAATTAAATCCTGAAAAATGATAGAAACCTTTGAATAAAAATCAAATTTTACCTCTTTCAAACACCTTATCTAGGTCAACTTTAACGCGTTCCAAGGTTTGTCCTTGACTTTTATGGATGCTAATTGCCCAAGAAAGAATGAGTGGGATCTATTTTTTTTTAAAAAAAAAAAATATTAAATTAAATAAACAATAATCTAATAAAATGTCGTCTCCTCTATTAAACGCTATTGATATTAACCTGTATACGTCGAGCCACGACCCGTTCGGTTTCGTCCTTTAAGGTCCATTCTGTCCAAGGAACTACCTTGGTCTGTCCATTGGTAAATTTTACAACAGGTAATACAAAAGTTACATCATGACTTGGAACTTCGTCATGTTCATCATAAAATTTCTCGGATGGTATGGAAAACCATCCAACCACAACTCCTTTACTACCATTAACCAATTGTTTTGTAAAATTCTTAATTAACATGACTTGAGCGTTAATTTTAAGTCTTAATCTTGACGGAGCAATGCAGCCATTTCTGAGCGATATCAATTGACCGTTAAATTTAGGTTCCCAATCTTCTGCATTATAAATAAACTGTTGATTTGTATTGAATGCTAATTTCATATAATTTACTTCATTAACCATTCTGTTAACGGGATACCTAAGAAATATTAAACGAAAAAAAAAATTAAATTAAAAATTCGAAATTTCTTTAAACAAAAATAAGGATAAAAAATTAAAATGTACAGTTCGGTTACTTCAATTCCATCATTTTGGTATTCAGGTGCTTGATTTAATTTATTTAATATATCGATGGATTTTTCAGACATGTTTCCAAATCTGATCTCATTTAACATCTTTATAAATTCTATTCAATTGATAAAATTAGATAAATTTTCCAAGTGATAAAAACTTGTAAGAATAAACAAGCTTTAAGACACCTTGTTCGGATTGTCGATGTACGGTGGTTAGTTGAATCGAATGATTTAACGAATTCCAAGATTCCGCATCAAAACAATAATTATTTACTTTGACAGGAGGAAGCTGACAAAAATCTCCTGTTATAATCAACTATTCATATATTTATATGTGTGTGGTTATTAAAAATGTTCCTTTTTTTTTTTTTTTTAAAAAAAAAAATTTTTTTTAACCTGCAATCCACCAAAGGGTCTACTGTCACAACGAATATTTTTAACCACATGATCCAATTTATCAAACAATTCAGCATCAAGCATAGAAACTAAAATTTCATCAAAAATAAATATAAGCACGTGATTCTACAAACAACATTTTTATTTTTAAAAAAAAAAATCATACTTTCATCAATTACCAACGCTTTGATTTTCTTCCATCTTCTTACTATCCTATGACTCCTATTGATTTTTTTAATAAGGCTTTCAATGTTCAGGAGATTCGATTGAGGGGTAAGTCCAGCAAATGAATGTAACGTTTGTCCACCAATGTTTATTGCCGCGATACCAGTCATTGCTGTAACTGCAACTGAAGATTTCCCATACTTTCTTCTAATTCCGCTGATTATCGATCTTAAAAGTACGCTTTTACCGGTTCCTATTAATAAAGTCAAAAACAATACAAGTGTATAATCTCACATTTCTTTGAAATCTTTTTCTTTTTGTTTTGAATTTAACGGTTACCTGCGGCACCTGTATAAAATACATTATCCTCGTTATTGAGAACTAAATCTTTAACGATTTGTTGTTCATTGCTAAGATTGATTGTACGTAACGCATCTAACTTCGCCTAGTTTAATTACAATTAGGAGGATGAGACAAATGAATCAACATGCTTGACGACACAATCATCTGATTACCTGATATGCGTGATCCTGAACTGATAGGTGCGGTTCACTTGAAAGCTAGAAAAATATATCGAGAATTTTTAAATAAAGCAAGTTACCAAAACAACTTTCAAAAACTGGCTGACGAAAAATTTGTGAACTTACAAATTTTAAACTTTTCAGACGAGTTACGTGAACACCTTTATCTATAAAGAGTTTCCAATTTAAATTTTCCAATAAACTAAAAACGCTGGCGGTTCGGAGACTACTCATTTTCTTTTCTTTTTTCTTAAATACTCTTTGGATGATCAATTTTGAACTTATTTATTAGAAAGTACGTGCGCGTTCCAAATATCTGAATGAGGTAACAATGAACGTGAAATGAACAATGAATATCATGCACATGTATTGCACGTTGTCAAACAACTAAGAAAGATTTAACAATTTATTTACGATTTCACTTTTGTACCATATAATACAATATGTGCAGATAAGATATAAAGAATCTTTATGACTTGGTAGAATTATCCAAAGACTTGTCTTGTCATTTCAAGATCCCTACTTCATAGTTAAGTAATAAAAGAAATTAAAAAACTAAAAATTACACCGATTCCACAATGTCACAGACTTCACATTTCATTCTCACCAAGCGTTTTTGGAACAATCTACAAGGGCAAGAGGATACTGATATACCCCGGTATTAATTAAAATATATAAAATAATGTCACTTAAGGCGCAGTCAATTAAAATAAATTAAAATTTTCGCGATTTTTGTGTTCAATAATAATAATGAAATAAAATCATTTTCACTGGTAAATCTTTCCAGAAAATGATGATTTGAAGAAGACTTTTTCTATCTTTCTTTGTAAAGTAACGGAATAAATTTGAGATATTTAAACCATTCTAATCATGATAATCCTTTTAGTTTGTAAAAAAAAAAATATTCCATTTATTCCATTAGCTCAATGAATAAATTTATAAATCCGCCCCAAAATAACCACCATCTGGACTTTCACTAAATTCAAATGGATAAAACTTTTAATCCAGCAAAGTTTGAGGTCAAAAAGTTCATCATATCAAGATATGCCGATGATAGGATTGTGATCAACGATATCAGTCAAGGAAGATGTCGCAAATTTTTTAGGCAAAAATTTTTTATTATGATTGGCACAATAAAATTTTTGATGTATCTCCTTCAAATATATAACACATGTATAAAGTTTAAAATTAGCTAAAATTAATTTAATCGGTTAAAATCAATAATCTTTAAATCTTAATTCTGGCCAAATTCGTAATTTCGGCCTAAATGTAAGTTAAAAACGAAAAATACAGGTCAAATGTAACACCATATTTATGCAATGTAACGTTTCAACCTAAAAACTAAAAGTGAAACTTATCGATCTCCTTTATGATCTTTTTAAGTATTTTTTCACATAACTTTTATTATGTGAGAAGGATCTTCAATGAAAGTTGGTGTATTCTTTAGTCTTTAATTCACTATAACAGAAATAAATTCAAGTTTACCAAGTGAAATTGATGACTTCTTTGACAATATACCGGAGAATAAGGAAGACTTGACTAGTTTATTTACTGAAGTTGCTATAAATAAAGCAAGAGAATTGCTATTTCAGATTTAGATAATGTGGATAATGACTCTAAAAGTACTGATTAGGATACCAGTTTTGCATTAACTATAGCAAGTGGAAGTACAGAAGTAGAGAATGAAATAATAATACCACAAACTAGTGGTTCAAATTTGACTCTGTGTGCATTAATAGACATAATAAATGGATCAATTCAAAAGATGTGGTGAAGTCAAAAATTTATGAGGACTTGCACAATTAGTTGGCACATTGTAACTTGATGATAATGCAGTTCGTGAAGCTAATAAGTTAGAGAATCTTAGAGTATGTTGAGAATATTTTATGTTTGATCAAAATCACCTTCATAAAAAGATGCAAAAAAAGAATGTGATAATATACATAGTTATTTATATCGAAGATATTGCTTATTTTGTGAACACAATTTTTATTTTTTAGCTATGAAAAATTTTATCATAAACATTCAGTTTCTTTTGAAAGTAAAAATTTGCATATACCATATATTGGCCAAAAATCATGTTCTGCATTAGAAATAAACAAAATAACTATTACAAATGTGAAATTACAATAAAAATCATGATATGTATATTATAATTGTTATAAAAAAACATGGTAGACATTTGTATGTAAAACTAGAAAAAGGAAAACTAGCATTACAATGCAATCATAATGAGGATACTAATATTGCTTTACAATTAATATGTAATTGGGTTATTAATCTTAGTTACTCCAATAATGATTTATTAAAAAAAAAATATTCTAACATGTTTAACAATAATAATTGAGTAATTATTGAATTATACTCTACTACCTGTCTCTTCTGAAAATAATACTAATGCCATATAGTTTATTTGATATTAAAGTTTTTTTTAGATTACACTAAATAAAGTTAGAAGATCTATATTATAATTTTTGGGATAATAATTTTCAAAAAATTAGATTATAAATAGGACTTGACTTTTTTTAAAAATCAAAAACAATTTTTACAGCAAAAATAGGCATTAAAAGAATCTAACTCATTAGAAGAATATCATTTAACACTGCCATTAAAATTATATGAATTATTAGATAGCATTATTTAGGTTCTGTTCAAAAAAAAAATAATGTGCAAATCAAAAAAAAGAGTGATTTTATAATGATAATAATTATAATTATCAATCAATTGATAATAATAAAATTTAAAAAATTGTAATTTTTACTTGTTCTATAATTATTTCTAATGGATTTAAGGTGTAAAAATATGGTTTACTAGAATGGTTTCTAGTTTATGCTAAAAATCTCGATTACTTTCAAGTCTTCATGATTTTTTAGTATTAGTTAATGTAGCAGGAATCACCAGAAAATATGAAAGGGTTCTTGAAATTAAACATATAAAATCAGCTGATCCTAAATTACGTGTTTGACAGAAATCTAATATTTGAAATGTATGTATCATAAATAATATAGATTTCAAAGAGAAAGCATTTATTTACAGAAATATTTATAATACAACTTATAATAGTTCTCACACTATATCACGCTTTTATTTCAGTATCAATTATCCATTAATTTAAGTTCAATTCCTAATAATAAAATTCAATTAAATGAAAATACAAAACTTTTTGATGAAAATTTAAAGGCAAAAGAAGTTCTATTAACTTTCAATTCAATTTTTAAAGAATTACTCAATTGTCAAATTAAAGATAATCTTCTGATTCAGTTTTCTTTTAAATACAATACTAAAATTATTAATGATAAAATAATAAACTATTTTAATAATGAGTCATATTGTCTTCTAACATATATAATAATACTAAAAGCAGAAAATGATTCAAATAAGGATGCAAACATAAATTCTACATGTGATTAATATTTTAATGATTTACAAATAAATGATAATTCAGCAGGAATTGAAATAGTATATGATGAAGTTATTTTTCAGAGAGTTCTTAAATACCATCAAAGTAATTCTAAAATATGATCACTTTAGGATAGTGGCATGCAAGTAAAGATATGTACAACATATTACTTATGATTTTTTTAGGATATAAGATTTATAATATGGCGGCAAACTTAGTGTAGTTTTTTTAGATAAACTTAAAATTATAATTAACTATTAGTCTACATATCACATCTTGGATTTAATTTGGATTGCCATTGGAAGTACTATTCAAATCTACATATCAAAGAATAATTTAGAACTAGAAGCTATAATGAATTTAGAAAAAAATTTGTTAAAAGTATGATTTCATTTTACTACTGGGCTGAAATCTGAAAAAGGTATTGAGCTGGTATTAGAATAGGAAATACTGAATTATAAATACAGTGTTTATCTGCATTTGCTCTCCTTTTTCCTATTGCCAGAAAGTTAAATTATATATGATCAACAGATCATTTTCTTGCAATTTTGACTAAGTATCTATATATTTTAACTTTATTGAAATATGCAGGTTCTGTCAATTTAACACGAGATGAACATTATTTCACCTTTGACAAAGCCTTAGAGACATTTAGTGTAAAATTCATAAAACAGAATATTACTGAAAATGTTATAAGTAAAAAAAATTTAAAACTTCAAATAAAAGTTGCACAATCAGAGAAGGAAAGAATGAACCTCTTACTTGATGAATTTTTTGATGATATAGTATTATTTACAGGCATATAGGCAGTTAATAGATATTAAGAAAATTATGAGAATTAATAGAACAAATACTTGAAGCATTTGAAATGGAAATGGAATACAGTCAACTCTTGTTATAACGAACTCTATGTCCTAGACCTCAACTTCGCTATAAGGCTATAGTGAAGATTTTAAGAGATTTGATTGGCCAATTCGCTATAACAAGAGTATTTTTTTATATTTATTTAAAAAATTCGTTATATCAAGAGTTCGCTATATCAAGAGTTGACTGTATAGCATTTAATTTTCAAAATTATGATCAATTAATCTCAGAAGGATTTAAGAAACTGTTTAAGTGTAATAATAATGATATGATATGCCTAGATAAAATCTTTCAGCAAGAGATTTTATGTCTAGAAATAATTAATACTAAAGGTAAATGTGCAAAAGCTATTATTACTACAAAGTTACAGACTTATTAAAAGCTATAAAAGCACAAAAAAGCGTACTTATTCTACTAATGATCCACAAATTGAAAGTTCAATAGCACATAATTTAAATATTTCTGCTATTGAATAAGAACTCACTCTTAAAAAGGCCAAATGGTACTATCCATCAAAAGAGGAAAAGGCAATTTTAAAAACTTTATTTGCATTTGATGTAACACCACCTGATGCAACTATTAATTCAGTATTAGAAATTCTACTAACTTATTGGGATGGTTGGACAAAGAAAAAGATTAGAGATGTATGGAATTATGAAAAAAGAAAAGGAAAACAAGCAGAGGACAAAATACAAGAATAAGTAATATATTGTTTTTATAAATTTTTATTGTCAATATTATTACGTAGAGTAATAAAAACGTTGAAAATATTGAGTTTATTTTACAATAATAAATAGCAGTTACAGGTTGTAATAAGAAATATATATATAAAAAATCAATTTTCGCATTTTACACAAAAACTGTTCGAATAACTATCTTTATGTACTTAAAAAAAAACTTTTTCTTTGCGTAAAATTACACATATTTCTGTTGTTAAAATATACATTTCTTTCTACCTTCAAAAGGATCTTGAAAAAAACTTGGTTTTTAGTACGAGTTTTCCGCCAAATATAAAAAAGAAATGACGGTTATTAAAATAGAAAGTGAGGAGAGAAATTGATAGAATACACGATGCTTTACCATTTTTCTAATTTATGTAGCACGAAATGCTGGAATTTTTGATGGTTAATTATAATGTGAAATTTTCGATTATGGTTACACAAATTTTCTAGTACTATAGAAATGATCTACAATCGACATCTTCCCTGACTGATATGGTTTTGCCATATTTTAAAAACCATTCATGAAAGTTTTTGTTTATAGAAACTTCATGAATTGTGATTAGGAAAGCGCATGTAGAATTAAACTTACTTGAGTAAGTATAGCTACATTTCTTAGATTGTAACACAATAATCATTACTTGTCGTTAAAGTCTATAAATTTTTCTCAATTCCAAGCAAAGCAAGCCTCAAGAGAAATTTGACTCTCGACTAAATCACTTTTATTGTTATATAATTCATTAAATGTGTTTAACGGTTACAGTTTTATTATCGGGACTAATGGAACAAAAATTTGTCTTGGCAAATCATTTGGCTCATCTGGTAATGTTTGATAGATTTGTATATATGACTTGTTGAAAAACTTACCGGTTCAACAAAAGTCATTGAAATGTTCGTTGTCTGTTCGTTAACTATCGAGTTTATAGGTGAATGATTGACTTGATTGTTGGATTGTTAGATTTATTTTCTAATGTTGTTGTGACTGAAATTGAAATTGGAATTCAGACGATCTTCGAGTGTCTGAAATTGAGAAAGATCAGTAGATAACGAGGGCTGTCTGAAATTGGGTTATCTAAATTAAACTTCAGATAGAATCTGAATTTCAGATACGAGGCCGTCTGAAATTAGGACATCTGAAATTGAACTTCAAATAAAATTTGAATTTCAGACACAAGGCCGTCTGAAATTGAGATATCTGAAATTGAACTTCAGATAGAATCTGAATTTCAGATACGAGGCCGTCTGAAATTGAGATATCTAAAATTGAACTTCAGATAGAATCTGAATTTCAGACACGAGGCCGTCTTAAATTGAGATATCTGAAATTGAACTTCAGATAGAATCTGAATTTCAGACACGAGACCGTCTTAAATTGAGATATCTGAAATTGAATTTTAGATAAATCTGAATTTTATACTAATTATGCATTTATAAATAAGTTAAAGTAATATGAAGAATCTATTATTTATATTTACTGTACATAAGCAATTTATTTTAATTAAAAAATTTTTTTAACTGTTTCTTTTATTTATTTTTCTTTACTACTCTATTATAATAAAAAAAAATTAACGATCCTTTTGTTTATAATTAAATTTTAAAATTCGCCTCTTAGTTTCAAAATAGAATCATTATACAAGTAACTCGTAAAGGTAGGAGTTCTTTTTCTATTTACTATTTTAAAAGAATTAAAAAGAATAAAAAAGTGAATATTTTTTAACATGTTTTTCTAATAGATGATTATTTCAGGTTGGATCACTTCGGTTTGAAGTTTTAATAAAAAAAAAAAAAAAACCTGAAAATATAGAGGAAAACGAAAATGAATAAAATCGCTTATTTAACTGACGCAGCACCCGATGCGGTCAAAAAACCTGCATGAAAATAAAATAGAAATAAAATAAAACTAAAAAATAAAATAAAAAAAATATATTTTAAAAAAAGAACTTACTTATTTGCCAATATAAGGTCTGAAGTTGGAATTCAGATAACAAAAAGGGTCAGTTAATTGACCAACTTCAGACGAAAATCAATTTCAGTCAACACTTTTTTTAATTTGAAAAAGGATATCATTCTTTGAACTATTTTGTTTCAAACTCGTGATAATGAATGAGTATCATCAGTAGATTTGAATAGCAAAGGTTGTGGTAAATCCCAACCTCTATATAAGGTTCCATTTGTAACTTTAGATGGAATCATTTTCGAAAGATTTTAAATAAATGATCATGAACGTATGAAACAAACAATGAGACTTCCATATATTTAGTATGTCTTATAATGCAATCCCGGTATAATCCACTCCAAAGATGTATCAAGAAAGGTTCATCGTGAAAATAAAAAAAAAATATAACTTTCATAATATTCTGGGTTTCTGTTGATTTACACTCGGATATGGCCAAATTTCAAGAACATTCTTATTATATACCGTTCTGTTAGCGACGGGATGAATATTTCCTGTATTATCTCTTCAATTTCAAATATAAAAAAAAATAATGAGAGATAAATTTATCGTGTATGATCAAAGAAAGTAAAAATGATCATGTAATGAGACTTACGGTAAATTGAAATGTTTCCAATAAATATATTCGCCATCATGAACCGAGAAAAAGAAATCCGTCTTCAGGATTAATTTTGAAATCATGAATGAAGGTCGAACAAGGTATCCTTCAGTTTTATGGTAACAAACTGGATGAATATAATTATGACTAAGTTTCAAAATAGGAAATAATTTTTTTTTTTTTTTTTAAAAAAAAAAACTCAAAACTTCCAACTTAAATGTAATTGTATAAACACGAAACCTTAGGACCTTCCCTTCCCAAGATATGTTAACACCAAACAAAGAAGCTGAAGAATTTTCAACTGTATTATAATAGGATAAATGTGATAGAATAATATCGTATCGTTTCCCAAAAAATCAAGAATTAAGGAGCTGAAGTTGCACCAATATCGTATCATCTACATACGATGTTCTTTTTGTCATTTTATGGGTCTGTAAAAGAGATATTATTTTCTGTATTGTATAAGTCGTTCGTTGTATAAATCGATAAAATGATAAAGTAAAGTTCTTCATATCTTTTTATTATATGAAGATTATATGAAGTAAAAAAAGATTATTATCTTTTTTTTTTTTTCTTTATGTTGACAGGTAAAAAATTTGGAATTCGCAGCAACTTATCGTATGAAAATTCTGTTTGATGCCTTGAAATTCTAAATTTTTTTTTTTTTTGTCAGAAAAGGTAATCCGTTCGTTATTTTAGACGAATCTTCGAAAGAATAATAAGAGTACTTGCTGCATCAGATACATTTGTTTGTATTAATGTTTCTTATTCATTAACTTTTAAAATGCCATTGATTGCAAGAATTGTTTCTCTCCCCGATCGTAATATGTAACACTGGAAATCTATGGTAAATTAAATTCTCATTCAATTTCGAAAAGGTTCGCACTTCGTTTGTTAAAGAACACAAACACAATGTATCGGAGCCATTCATTATTGAATTTTTCTTGAATCAAAACAACGGATTATCATTCGAGACGATTTCGTTAATTTTTATTTTAAACCAACAATGTTGATTTCTTGATCAGACGACGTGCATTAAAGATCAAAAATCAGTTCCGTCATCAAAAATATTTAGAAAATGCGTTTTCTGCTTATAAACATTTATAAAAAGTAGGACTACCAAAAAAAAGGGCAAAAAGAAACATCAAAATCACAATTTAGAGCCATAAAGTCATACAAATCAAAAGTCTTTCTCAACAATGAATTTTATGCTATTTTGTTCATCCTGATCTTACTCATCATGAACATAGATTCCATTCCTTCCTTCTTAAATCGAATTATTTATTATTATTATTATTATTATTATTCGTTATATATTCTTTAATTCATTGTAGAGTGTTGTGGACGAGGTGGAAAATGTGGACATTGTTATCCTTGCGTTGGTAGTAAACATTCCTCTAATGCTATTTAAGGTTTTGGTTTATTACGATAAAATTATTCCGACTTTTTATTAAAATGGAGTAGATTATTGTATTTATTATTATTGATTTTATAATATTTTTCATGAATAAAAGGACATTTTATACTTTGACATTTTTATTTCAATGTAAAATTATTCATCTTCGCGTACTTTTTCTATCAATTCCATTTCTTTGCCTTTAATTTTTGGTTTATACTTCACGCGCGCTTTTTTCAATTGACGGATTTGTTTTGAAACTCGAGGCAATTTTCTCAATAAAAAAATTCGAACCTTTAAAAGTTTAATAACTTGCGCTTTATTAACATTAAATAATGCTACAAATTAAAAGTTGAGGAAAAAAATTTTTTTTTGTTTTTTAATAGAATGTAATTGATATAAAGTGTCTTTCATCTAATAATAAAAGAACACAGAATACATTTCATCCTTTAATATTTAAAAGTGAAAATATTTTCCTAGATAAAGTTACACGAATATATGGATCATTATGAACCAATCACATGGAGGAATCTTATTAACTAATCGAATGAATGAATTAAAAAAAATTACTTCAAACATTGGTTGAAACAACTCTCTTTTCAAAGTTCTTTGTACGTTCACATCGCATTTGTAATAAAAAAAAATATTCAAATTTTTTTATACTTCATTTTAATTAAAATTAACAGAATAACAGAATATACAACTTGGACTCTGGATCGTACGCATAGACGTATCCCTTCTTTTATACCAACAACTTTATGGAATCATCTAATCTGTATATATGTAATAAAAGAGCAGAGAAATTAATAAGTGAAAATAATTAAACAATTTTTATATGATAAACCAAATCATTATCAGAAGCGTGTATGTTGTTTGGCTTTACACTTTTGTCGTATCCACATGATAAATAACTCGGACTGGGGCGACAACTTGTTCATCATTATATTACATTTAAAAGAAATTTTTTTTTTTTTTTTTTTACCATAATCTTGAATATTTTTCTTACCTTCAACTAATAACCATTAAATTTGACGACGGATACCAAAATTTTTCATCTGCACTCAAAGAATAAAATATATCTGTACGTGTGTCATTATAAAATGGCTTAGTTAGTATATTGAGAAATAAAACTTTGAAAGTTAAAAACAAATTAACATAATGTTACCAAGATCATTATAACACTTAATACACACCCAATAAAGTATGTTTTGTATCGACTGACATTCCTGATATTTGTATTCAACTCGATCCTAATTGTGACTTTGTCCTTTAAAAAAATATCAACCAGTTGGTCTTTTGTGACTAAATTTTTAATCCCAAGGAGGAAAAGTTATAAAATAAAAAAAAATTTTCTCAAACTAAGAAGATGCACAATAATTATGAAATAATGATAACTAAAAATAAAGGGGTGAGAAATTATCCAACTTTATATACAGTATTGTAAAATATATATATATATATATATATGAATATGGTGATACGAAATACTCAGGAAAATAGATCATCCATACTACAATAATAGATTACTAAGGTAACAGCTTTAACAAATAGTGATTTGATATTATATTATGAAATTTTATCATTGAAAAAAAAGAGGAAATAATAAGAAAAGTATACAAGATTTATTTTGAAATAAATCAGTAAATTTCGTTAAAAGCTGCTATATCGGTTTAATTTTTGACGAATAGCATTCTTCTCCGAAGATAAATTCTTTATTGACTCAAATTCTTTCTACATAGTCACACTCTATATAATCATTATTTCTTATTTAATACCTACATATCATTTTTTATTATTCTTTATCACTGGATTTGGTGTTTATAATATTTCTGTTTTGATTTTCTTTTTGTCTTTCTTTAATTTTCGGTCTTAATTTTTTTTTTTGCTTGAATATAGGTTAAAAAATAATTTTAATAATTTTGCATTACCTCAACAAATGCCATAGTTGCACGATAATTTCATCCGCAGGAACACACGTTTAATAAGTCCGCCAAGTCATCATGTAATTAATTTATGTTATCTCAACAGAAAAGAAGTAAATTAAAAAAAATCCAGTGCGCTTTTGTTTTTGGATGCTAATACATTTAATAAATTTAAATATTTTCGTGTGGTTTTTGTGTGATACTAGAAAAAGATGTTTCGGAAAATAGATGATAAGAAAGTTACATTTTGCAAAAAAAAATTCAGTAAACGCTCAAAACCTGATATAAAGAAGACCAATGATAATTCCTAATTTTCATTTAAAAGTGGGATTCAATCTTTTGGATTAGGCCACACAACAGAGAATCATTAATTATCTATGTATATTTACAGTAAGTAAAGATATTCACTCAGCCTCCCATTATCCCTCATATTATCACATCAATGGCTTATGTACTTTACACTTTATATAATTGTTTCCTTTATCACCACCTTGGTAAATTTTCAATCGAAATAAATTTGCCATATTTGTAGACAAAGGCAACCAGTTTTTAAGTTAAAGTTCTTTGACCAATCGGTTAAGTCTTGCTTCAACCGCACCAAGCCATAAATTGTTGTGCTAAACATACGTGCGACACGAGGATTGGCAATTATTCTAATTAGTCTGAAGAGATGAAATCAAATCTTGCCATATTTGGCAGGAATAACCACGATCCTTACATTCAAGTTAACCATAAAAGTTCTTTAAAATACCCACTTACCATATTCTGACATTTAAAATTATTCCGAGAATATCGACAATCAGCCAAATGAACCCTCAAATGGTTTCTCCGTTAGTTTTAAAATAATAAATAAATGTACTTTAAAAGGTAGTAGAAATGAACATTTACTTGACTCGTTGTTGCATGATAATTAAATTTGTTAACCATTTGGGTGCAATTTATTTGATTTTTATGCATAAGATTTGCAAATTATTCATCATCTTACTCCATGCTGCGGTCCTGTAATGTCTAAATTCACCTTATCATGTAATTTAATAAGTGTAGATAGACATTTGGTACAAATTGAGTAAATAGGGTAAATAAAATAAAGATCACAAGAGGGATTACGAATTATTTGTTTATTTATATGCCACATACTTGATCTTAAAATCCGTTTTTTTTTTTGTTTTGCTTATCAAAAAATAACAATTGGCGCCTCAAACTTGATGTGCAACGTACCAATTTTTTTTTTTTCATATTTAATACCACACTTTTTCTGTGTCCTTTTTCTTTTTGGAAATACAACAGGAGGACTTAACCAGATAAATAATAATCCATCTTCCCTACCTAACCTTCAAAGTCATACCCGTTATTAAAAAAAAGATGAGAGATTTACCTTCGTTGTGTTTAGAAAAGATTTTCTGGGCGATATATAACGAGGATGTGATGGATGACGACCCGATTAACACGATGAAATATATAAGGAATTCATTGTTTAATTGTTTGTTGGTTAATCGGCATTTTTGCAGGCACGTGATTCCAATACTATGGCGAAACACGTTCAATTGGCATTTACCTTCCGCTAAATTGGTCATATCATATCTTTGCTTTCTTTCACCTAAAGCGAGATCTTTCCTTTCACAACGACTTGACATTGATGTGAGAGGTTTATTGGACTATTGTGGTAAAAAGACCCCCTTCTTCAATTACGCATCTTACTTGAGAGAATTAGAATATCGTAGCGTATTGAAAAGTGTACAAGAATTATGGCCTGTAAATCAAAACACATTATTCAAGTTGGGAGGCGTTGATTATCAGTTGTTGATGGTTGAAGAATTGTGTAAAATGTTTTTGTCTCAATGCCCCGCATTGATCAGGTTAGATTTGGCAACTGATTCGAAATTTCAAAATCATTTTAAGTTCACTCCAATCCCATTACATCCTCTCGCGAATCCTTGTTTGTGTAAATTACGAGAATTTAAATTCGGTAAACACCCTGATCAACTAAAAGTAATCAACACGTTATCAAAGCTTTGTCATAACATTGAAATCATACAATTGAGCATTTTTAATCATCATGATCCTACTTTACAATTCGATTGGTCACTTTACGAGGGGATTCATAGACTTATAATGTCTCAATGGTATTTAAAAGAATTCATTTGTTCTTTTGCTCAAAAGGGTTTCTTGTCCGTCATCGGTCCCGCTCTCTTGACAAAATCATCAACTTTACGAGACGTTACCTTTCATGAATGTGACCTTCTCGAAAATGATCATCCTTTTGACGATTTGATTGATCGTTGTAATCTTTCATCATTGACCTTGATCGATTGTAAAAATCTTCAAGGTTCTCACTTTTCCCCTTTAACTCATTCGATCGATCATAAATCTTTTTTTATAAAAAAAACATTACCCTTAAGTTTAAATATCGCATTTAATAGTCCATTACAATGTACATACATCAAATCCATTTTACCACCGAATAATTTATGTTTAACGAGACTTTTACTCAACGATATAATACAACAACCATGTTCACTCATCGATCACGTAACTGTGTATTGTCCTAATTTAATCCATTTTAGGGCAAACATATCGGCTTGCATTTTACCTCAACTACCTAAATTTTTCAAATCATTAAACAAATTAGAAATCATTGAATTAAATAATGAAAAAGTATTTTACGAAAATTTGATACCTACTTTAATCTCAAATGAGTTGGCGATAGAAATTTCCGAATCCATACCAAACTCTTTATATAATTTCACCTTTTTATTGATGGCAGTATTCACGAGTCAAAGTCTTTCATTATTTCTTGAACGATTGGATGAAAGGTGCATTGTGATGAGCGACCTTAACTATTCATATTCATATTATTTTGATGAAGATGAATACGTTGAAGTTGAAATGGGTGACGTGATATTTGAAGAATTTTTCATTCGAGTCGATTTAGAAGAATGGTTGAGAATCAATGAAATTGATAACATATATTTCAAATTACTTGGAAATTTTGAATGTACGAGGTATTTGGACGATGGAAATTCTCGCGTTTATCCCACTTATGTGGAATCGGATGATTAAAAACAAAAAGAAGAAATTCTGTAAATTACTTTATTTTAGTTATATTGTTTATTTTTATTTTTTATCTTTATTTTTATTTTTTTCATTTTCCATTCATGATGTACAAAAAGTCAATAAACGCATTTAACAGTTAATAGATAAAATTTTTAATGAATTATGAAAATGATGGTCACAATCATGTGAAAAAGAGAAAAGGACTTGTTGAACTTATTAGGATGTTGATAAAAGTCGAAATTATTAAAAGGGGGTCCTATACCGTTACACCAACAAACAAGAACGTTTTAATTCCGGTTCCCAAAGACAGAAACAAAAACTAATCAAGGGGCTGACGGATTTTAGAACTGCGTACATAACCACATTTAAGGAAATAATACCGGTTTTCCAACGGGGAATTCCATCCTTTAAACTGTGAATACTTTGTATATGTCCCCTGTGCATATTTTGGGATACTTAATTAAAATAAAATTAGAAAGGATTTTGATCTTATCACAAGTATCCAAATGTATATAATGTATAATTACCACATACACCATCGTGTGAAAATAATAGAAAAATGTCATTGTTTTAAAAAAAAACTGTAAATTCTCCCAAATGCGGTAAAAAGTCACAGCATTTTGTTATTGTCAGTTCAAAATGGAATTGAATATATTTCGTGCGACGAAAAAGTACCAATATAAAATAGATTATCAAAACCTTTTTTCCAATTTTCAATTTTTTCATTTTTTATTTTCTCAAGATCAATTCCACGTCATCTCATTTTTCAAAACTCGGAAACTTAAATAAAAAAATAAAAGTATGTCTTCAAAATTATAAACATCGCTTGTAATCATTCTGATATTTAGAATTAAAGAATGCAATAAAAAAAAAAAAAAAGAAAATTTTATATGAACCTTTTTTTTTTTTTAATTCACAAACCTTCTTATATTTATAAGGCTTCATTATCATCCGCTTAAAATTGTATCTTTTATTAAGAGAAATCTTGGTTTAAAACAATAAAAAAAAAAATGGAAAAACAAATGGCAGAACTCAGTTTACAAAAACTACCCTTACCACCCCCACCACCCAGACCCAACTTGGGAACTAAGGGTACAAAAGTAGTACTTCGGGCTAATTATATTAATGTTACAAAGGTATTTTTCAAATAGTTCTTAATTGATACAGTAATTTATTTATAAAAGTTGCTTAAAGTCCTAACCCTTTTCTTATTTTGTTTTTTTTTTTAAAAAAATAAAAAAAAAAGTTCCCAAATTTAAAGTTGGTTCGATATAATTTTGAAAGTCTTTCACCTCGTGGTAGGAAACCGAGTAAAACGGTCCGAGGAAAGATTTTTATGGAAATGATAAAGCAAAAATTATTTGGCAATTGTTTGCCGGTTTATGATGGAAATGACTTGATATATTGTTCAACTACATTACCAATGGGAAACGGCAAAGAGGATAGTGTTTTAGAAGTTTGTATCATCTATTTCATTATCTCTCTCATCTATAAGAAAAAAAATATATTTACTTAATAATTATCGTTAGGTCGTTCTTCCACCTAGTGAAGATAATAATAACAGACCTACAAAATTCGAAGTAAAAATTAAAAGTGCCAAAGAGATTAATTTACGATCCTTACAGGACTATATTGGTTCGGGGAAAGAACCAGATGTTTCGGATGATGATATTCAAACTTGTATGAATGCGCTTAATACTTACTTAAATTTCAAAGTCCGCAGTGTTTATTTATCGGTTGGAAGAGGAATATATCCTCCTGTGACGGATGTACAAAGGATTCTTTTGGGTACTGGTGAGGAATTAAAAAAAGGATTCTGTCAATCTTTGAGGATAGGCTGGGGTATGTTAATCTTATCAGGTTACGTATTTATAATTTTAGCTCATATTTATTTGGACTAATCCATTATTTAAATTTTGTTTACAGATCGTCTCCTTGTGAATGTCGACACGAGTTTTGGCATTTTTTATCCGCCTGGAAATGTCATGGACGTTATTGCAGGCTTCTTATGGTGTGACAAAAATGATTTGAGGAACGGGATCAAAGAGCAGCATAGGGATCATTTAAATAAGGTGAATAAAGATATCTTGGCGTTTAAAATTTCATAAAATATGTATATTAAATTGAAATTGATTTATAGATATTGAAAGGAGTTAAAATTTACGTCTTGCATCGTGGTGATAAGAAAAGAAAATATACTATTAATGGCTTAACGACTACTTCAGCAGACAGAACTACATTTAAGATTGATGATAAAGATATTTCAGTTACTAAATACTTCCTAGACACATATAAAAAAAGGCTTGAATTTGGAAAACTTCCTTGTATTGTTGATGCAAAAAATTGTTATCTTCCTTTAGAGGTCTGCGAGATAATACCAGGTCGCATTTAGATAAAAATTCTTTCTCCGTTTTTACTCTTTTACTTACGTAAATACCATTTTCTAGATCAACCCTTCAAGTTTACTCTTTCTGATGACGCTCGCGCTGAAATGATCAAATTTACTTGTATCAAACCGGCCGAGCGGTTTAAAACTATTAATAGTTCATTTAACAACTTCTTTCGCTATGATAGCGACGAGTTTTTGAAATCCATTAATATGAATATTGATGTTGAAACAAAGGTAAAAGTTAATGGTAAGAGTCAAAATGCAAAATTATATTATTATTTTTTTGTTTTGTGCTTTTAAAATAGAAGATATTAACGGGTCTTTTCTTAGGACGTGTTCTTCCTAGTGTGTCAATGACTTTTCATAAAAGTAGTAGTCCCGCAGTTCAATTTATAGAAGGGGGGCGTTGGAATCTCGTGAAACGAAAAGTTCTTGATGTAAGTCATTATAAATTTATTTTAGATAGAATATTTTATGATTAACACTTTTTTTTTCCCACGAAAATCCATCAGGGCCAGACATTATTTAATTGGTCAGTGTTAGTGTTGTCCGGAGATAATACGAACGTTGTTGGAGCATTTATGCGACAATTACGCGAAGTTTTAAACGAGAAGGGGATGGTAATATTACAAAATTTAGATATTATTTATAGAGATCCAAATTTTAATTTTTTTGTTTTAAAAAAAAAAATCATAATAGAATATTGCGAATGATCCACAAATTGTACCCTGGGGTCATCAGAGAAATATTAAAGAGGTAAATTACTTGTTAATTATTATAATGTAACGTTCTCAATATATTTAATTTTTGTATTTATTTGTTTTATAGGGATTAATTCAGGCTATTAAAGTTAGAAAGGATCAACAAAAAGGACCTCAATTGATTATAGTCATAATGAAAGAACGGTCTCAATTATATGGTGAAATAAAACGCGCTGGAGAAAATGATTTGGGTGTGCGTACTCAATGCATGTTGGCAAAGCATCTGAGAAAGCGTTCGAACGAGCAATTTTGTGTAAATCTCGGCTTAAAAATAAACGCCAAACTTGGAGGTAGAAACTTTACCCTAACGCCTGGACAGATGAACTTTATTTCTTCGGCACCGGTAAGTATACTAATTTATTATGATCTCAAATTCGATCTAATTAAATTCTGTAATGATTATCATTTATTATCTAGACAATGGTATTCGGCGCGGATGTTTTCCATTCAGGTAAAGGAGAATTTCATATACCTAGCATCGCTGCCGTTTGTGCCTCCATGGATGCCAATGCCACAATTTATAGTGGTCGACATAGTATGCAAAATGAACCACGTAATGAGACTATTGAGAATATGGAAGGAATGGTTGTTGATCTATTAAAAGCTTTCCAAGCCAAAAATAAATGTCTCCCGAAGAGAATTTTATTTTATCGTGATGGAGTTAGCGAGGGGCAATTTAAAAAAGTCATAGAATTAGAAGTGGAAGGAGCGTTGAAACGAGCCTTTAAAAGAGGATATGGCAATAACCCACCAAAATTGACTTTTATTATCGTACAAAAAAGACATCACACAAAGTAATTCAGTTTATGCCACTATTACATATGTTTATTTTTTTTTTTCCATTACACTAAATTTTTTTTTTAATAAATTAGGATTCAACCAGAATCGCCACGTGATGGAGATCGTAACGGTAATTGCAAACCAGGGACTGTTGTTGATACGGGGATTGTTGCAAGACATGAATTTGACTTTTGTGCGTTCCTAATTATTTATATCGTGTACTATTTAAATGTCTTCAATAAGTTATTAATTGTTTATACTTACTTTTACATAGTCCTACAATCTCATGCCACCATTCAAGGGACTGGTCGTTCAGCTCATTATCGTGTGTTAAGAGACGACAACGGGTTTGGTGCTGATGATTTGCAATTGTTAACGAATAACCTATGTTATTTAAATGCAAGGTTGGTAATAATTTCATTCACGTTTTTTACTAAAATAAAATAAATTGTCTAAATATTATGTAACATTTTGACCTAGATGCACATCGGCCATATCAATAGTAACACCCGCATTCTATGCACATTTAATTGCAAATCGCGCGAGACAATATCTTACTTGGGATGGTCAAGCATCAAGATCATCAATTGAAGAAAAACCTAGTTGTCCACCGGTGAAAAAGGATATAGAAAATATTATGTATTTCATTTAAAGATAAAAGAGAAATTAGCTTGAAACAATTAATATATATTTTGATCATATTTGCAAATTATTATTGCTTTTGCTCATTCTTTTTACTTATCAGTATTTCATCATTTTTCATTTTTAATGTAGATTAGTATAGTTTAACAAGATAGCAATTCATCATCTATACCTTGTTTATCATAGAAAGAACAATTAAATAAGTTTACTGGTTATATCAAACTTTTTCATAAATATAAACTTTTGTAAAGTAGAAAATTACATTGTCAAATTTTAAGTCAAGATCATTAAAACCTCTTTTGAAAACCCATTAAATTGCTAGTTAGAATTTAATTTCTATTTATTTGTATATAAGATATCATAAACACTATGAGAATGCTTAACATAAAAAATCGGTAAATATGATGCAGGGTGAATAATTTTTCATTTAAATTATTTGATTTGAAAATGGTTTAAAATGATATACATTTTAATATTATTTAAATTTTAACAAATACTTTATATAAAATATATTAAAGATTTAAAATTAAGAACTAAGAAGAATATATAATCTTAATAAGTAAAGTTTTATTTTTAATTTTATTATTATTAAAAATTATTAAGAAATTTATTTATAAAATTAATAATAAAATTTATAGTAAAAATATAATAATTTAACATTAATAAATATTGCCAACTTTTATTTAATTAAAGTAAATTAAATAATAACTTATTAATAAATATTCATTAAATATTTTCAAAAATTGAATAATAAAAATACAATAATTTAATAAAATTATTAATTTAAAATATATAATAAAATTTATTAAAAATTAGCTTTCTAATAATAAAATAATTATTTTAAATAACTTATATTATTTTAAATAAAAGATAATATATAATTATGAATTAAGAAAAGTATTATAATTTATAATATCATATATATTATAAATTCAAAGATACAAAATTTATGATAACTATAGTGAAAACAACTTAATCCTAACAAAAAATTTTTTAAGAAGCCAAATTTGAAATGTCGATCTTTGTTTACATGATAAAAAATCCTGACAATTTTATTAATCAATAAACATGCACATAATAAGGATATCAGATACAATAGTCAATCACAATTATATAGTCAATCACCATTATCAATAGTCAATTACTATTATTAAAGAAATAGTCTAGATTAATTATTTCTTTTATTACATAATAAATTTCTTGCTTTATATTTTTGTAAAGAAGAATCTTTTTTTTATAAAAATAAAAACTTTTATTAAATAACAAAGTATAATACTTACCTTATGTGATGTATCATATATGATACTCTCACTAGCTGAATTTTTTAATACTTCTGATTTGTAAATATGCCATGTCTAACAAAATGTGAAAAGCATTTAAGGAAAGCTTGTAAAGCAAGAACTATAAGCTGGAATATCAAAAGTAACATTGATAATATGCAAATCGATATTAATGATATATCTATTCATGATGACTTCAATAATGTTGACCTTTCTAATATTAATAATGATACTGATAATTTTCTGTTTTGATAAACTAGTAAAAAATAATGAAGCTGTAAATATTGTAAAAACTTCAAAAAATAGCAAAAAAATATTATTAAGAAAATATCTCTCATAAAACACATAGACTGTATTATGTTGGTAACTCAAACTACACTAAAAGAAGAAAAAAATAGCAATAACATGAAGTAGCAAAGAGACTTTTATATTAGATACTTTTAGAAGTACTGAGAAATCTACTGAGAATATTAATGTAGAAATATATGATAATACTAGTGAGTAGTCAAATGATGAAATTGAGTGTTACAATTAGCATAATAGAATTCTGACTGCTCTCAAAAATCTGAAGTTAGATATTAAAAAAGAAAATATAAATAGTGAGATTTGGATGCGTTTAAATAGCATTCATCTTTACCTTCAACTTATAAAAAACAATTACTCAAAAATGAAAACAAGTAATATTGTTACTAATGTAATAGAAAAAGGAGTATATCATACCAGATATATTTATTCTTGAGCACATAAGTATATAAAAACTCACTAAATTTCTTATTCTTACTAAAGACATCATGCTAAGATTTGAAGCTTTTTTTTAAGATGAAAATATCCTTCTTCAAGTAAAATCATATATTCTGTAAAATAAGTGAAATATTACTTCACAAATACTAATAATATAAATGAATAAGATCATTTTACTAGGATTTGAATTTGTGCTATCTCTGACTATAAATGCTAATACTGCGAAGAATTATTTGAAAGAGCTAGTATATATGTATACTAAGGTAAAAAAGAGAATATATATAAATAGACATGAGAGAAAAGATGTGGTAGCTTATTGAAAAGTATTTTAGAAGAATGAATGAACTTAAAAATAGAATGCCTATTTTCTCAGAAGATAATTTGAAAAAGATAACCTGATCAGATAATAATATGCAATCACTTATCCTTGTTATATACAATAAATACATTTTTTCAGCTTATGATAGAAGTCAAAGCCTTTGATTCCTAATAGAGAGTAACCTTTACGAAAAAAAGGTAATGATCACTTAATTCACATTAATGATTTTTTAACTAAAGTTTATGATCGTTTTGTTCTTTCCAATAAAATGCATATACCAAATATTCCTAAAGAAGTCTATGTTATTATGTATTCAGAAAAAAATAATAATAGATAGTGGAAGGCTGAGAATTTAGTAAATCAAGTGATTGAACATGCTATACCTATATTTGAAGTACATTTTCAGAATACCAGGCATTGTTTACATTTGACAATACATCAAATCATGCTGCATTTTTACCAGATGCACTTATTACCAAATATATGAACCTTAGTCCTGAAGAAAAGCAGCCAAAGATGTAAAACACATATTTTAGTAATAGGATTTAACAAGATATAGTTTTTCTATTAGACCATCATATTTCTAAGTTAAGTGAACAACTAAAAGGTTTAAAATAAGTTCTAATAGAAAAGAGATTGTGACCAAATGAAAGATTAAAATTAGAAGAAGTATAAAAATTAATGAGTAAATAACCAGACTTTTTAGTGCAAAGGAGCAACTAGAAGAAGCTATTATTGCAGCTAAACATCAATTTATATTTTACCTAAATTTCATTGTAAGCTTAATTATTGAAAACTTCTAAAATGCAACAAAAAATTTAGTTAGCTATATTGTGATTACTCATAAATAAAATTACAAGAAACTGATTTATTAGCCTTTACCTCTGTTTCACTTACAATTATCTGCCAGTATATAAGAAAAGCTTTTCATTATATAGATGTATATTAAAAAGATTTAACAGGTAAAGTAACAAAATTTGCAGTTAAAAAGTATTGTTTATACCGTTGGATTTCTGATTCAATCTTACAATCAGTTCATATTTATTAAATTAGTTTTGTTTGTATAAATTTACTCGCATTAGCTATAGGTAAAAAAAGAAAAAATTAGTGTTATGTAAATATCAATAATAACAATTAATGCAAAATACTTAATAAACTTATTTTTTTAAACATTAATACTTTAAGATTTTGAAATGAACATTTTATTGTAGTAGAATACTTTATTGTGATAAAACACTTTATTGTGACAGAATAGAAAACAAATTTGTTTTATTCTTAACAAAATACAATTAAAGATAGCCAGTATTATAAAATGTAAATTAATCAATCAATGATAGAAATTATGATCATGTGTATCATGTATAGAGTAACCAAAATATCTGATTTAATAGTAAAATAATCTGATTTTGAATTGCTAATACTTTACCAAAAATCATTTTATGAAAAAACTAAAATTATAGTTTTATTAAACTTGAGTTACTCTATTATTCTATGATCATATTTTATGCTTATCATTTTTTTGAGTAAGATGTAATAATTTGAATTTTATTAATTTTATTTGTTATGACTAAATTATTTGCACTATATAATAAATGTAATATTATTATTATTATATTTTTATAAAACTAAATATTTTTTTATTATTAGTCTAAAACGAAGTGTAAAACTATATATGTACAGAGTCTAAGTTATATATATATATATCTGTCTTGCTTAATAATTGAGTTAATACTAATTGGTCTTTACAATTACATAAAAGTTTAGATAAAAACAAATACTAGTAGATTGTTTTGGACTTAATAATAGTTCCTATTTTTTAGTTATTATTATAAAAGTATTAAAAGTAAAGTATTTCTTATAATTAATTTATAATATAATACATATCTATTATTTGTTATTTTCAAATATCCAGATTTATTTATCATCTTAAATAATAAGATGCAGATCACATGTTAAAAATAATAGGCTAAATAAATAATAAATAAATAAATATATTACCTAAATATATTATTAATATATTGAATTTTTTCTTAAGTAAAAATGGTTACCAAATATAAAAAGTTTTTAAATATCCTTAATACTATTTAATTTAAATTTCTTTTTTTATTTATTTTCATATTTCATTATATTAAAGTTTCAGATTAGATATATTATATGCAAACTTTCAATATTACATTAGAAATATATAAAGTATAAATGGAAGATATATACTTTGTGGCATATTCATATTACTTAAAATTCTTCCTATTCATGTTAAATTATAAATAAACAAAGATTATACTTATAATTCATATTATCATATTATTACAAAAAAATAAAATTTAACATCTTTTTCATAAGTCTCTTTACTTTTTGGTCTTTATATAATTGAAAAGTTTAATAGTTTATATATATGTTTAGAAATTTAAAATAATAATGATAAGAGTTTTACATATAATATGAAATTTTGAAGATATAAAAATATTACAAATTATATATTATAAAATAAATAATATTTTTATTGCAAATATAAAAATATATATAAAATTATTAAAAAAGTTTCTATTTTGAATATTCTAAGGTTGCATAATTCTATAATATTCATGAATTATAAGCAAAAGTAAATTTAATTTATTCAAATATTTTTAGAGTTATTACTATAAAACTTAATCTTAAGAAAAAATCATAAAA